ATCCAATATTGAAAATAGTGTTTTGGAGGCACGAAGGTGTCAGATCTCGCTAGTTGCGCGTACCGTTGACCATACTATTTTCGAAAGAGACTGCAAAAAATCATAGCCTTCTGTAAGCGATTTACACACAACGCAACATCGCCACCTGCCCACCGCAAATCAGGTTCCATAACTAACGAAGAATTTAATGAAGCACTACTTACCTTAGTCAGGCAAGCTCAAGCCCAAGACTTCACCACGGAAATGGAATGTTTATCTCGGAATAAGAACTTACCTAAGATCTCGCGGATCCAAAATTTAAGTCCATTCCTCGACCAACAAGGTTATTTGCGGGTTGGAGGCCGTTTGACCAAGTCTGACTTACCATTTGAAACCCGACATCCTCTTATATTAGGCTCAAAGCATCGCCTTACTGTGTTATTGATTAAGCACGAGCATCATCGGCAGCTACACGCGGGAGCGCAAGCTATTTTAAGTTCACTAAGACAGCGTTTTTGGCCAATTGGTGGAAAAAGTACTGTCAGAAACATCTTGAATAAGTGTTTGACCTGTTTTCGAGTGAATCCTACCACGATTGTACGCAAAATGGCGGATCTGCCGAAGGATCGAGTTACCGTCAATCGGGCCTTTTTAATAACGGGAATAGACTACGCTGGACCCTTTCAAATAAAAGATGGCCGCCTACGGAACCGTGCTATAATTAAAGCCTATTTGTGTATCTTTGTATGCTTTACCACTAAAGCAGTACATTTGGAAACAGTGAGTGATCTTAGTGCCGACTCATTTCTTGGCTGCTTAACTAGGTTCACGTCCCGTCGAGGTTTACCTCGGATTTTATACACCGATAATGCAACTAATTTTGTTGGTGCTCATAATAAATTGAAAGAAATTTATGACGCACTTTAAATATTCAAGACCCCAGTGTAGTCAAATTTTTCCTAACCAACAATACTGAATGGAAATTTATACCGCCGCGATATCCCCACCGTGGAGGCTTGTGGGAGGCTGCCGTAAAGCGTGCCAAGTTCCACCTATCCCGCGTACTTGGAAAGAAAATCTATACTTTTGAACAGCTAACCACAATATTTGCGCAAGTGGAAGCTATATTGAATTCGCGTCCTCTGACACCCCTTTCTGCTGACCCTTCCGATTTGTCTACCCTTACACCCGGCCATTTCCTTATCCACGAACCCTTAACTACCATCCCATACACAGACTTGACGACTACACCGATGAATCGGCTGACTCAATACCAATGCCTACAGCAAGCTTACCAACTGTTTTGGCATAGATGGTCCAAGGAATACCTTCAACTATTGCAAGTTCGGACCAAATGGCTCAAGGCGGATACGCAAGAAATTCATGAGGGAAAGCTAGTTTTACTTCTCGACGACAACCTGCCTCCCATGCTATGGAAACTGGGACGCATCACCAAACTACACCATGGACAAGATGGAGTTGCCCGCACTGTAACCGTGCGTACTGTCAATGGCGAAACCACGAGAGCTGTGCAGAGAGTAGCCCTTCTACCAGTTGAAGATTTTCCTAAGAACAGTGTTGAAAGCCCTGCTCATCAGGATCTTTCAAGGCCGCCGGTATGTTAAGCTCACCCACCGTACTTCTCGCGCCATCTAGTGAGCGGCGCTTCAACGCATCAACCGTTTGCTACTGGCCAGGCGGTTACCCTACGTTACCGACCGGGCGAAAAATCTACAGGTTTTCTTGTTACCAACCGGTGACGCAAGAAGAGAGAGGGGGTGATGGTGCCACGAGAGACAGACATTATTATTCACATATTCACAAAGTATTGTACCCTACATTTTCTGTTATAAACCTTCGTAAAGCGAAGAACGTATAGTTATTTCATCGGTAAACACTCAGAGTGAGTGCTTTACACAAGTGTTGAATAGAAAATGTTCATCGTTTATAATTCGTTCACTCATATCTTCTCAAAATTGTAATCGCCGATCAAAATCGTCATCATTAAGTTCTTGTACCAGGTGAATTTTATACGTATGAAAACTATGGGCCTTTAGAATCCGTTGGAGAGTACGTCGACTAACACCACACATAGTCTCCAATTTGCGGGTACTTAACGTAGGATCTACATAAACTTGCCCTAAAACCCCCACTTCTATGCTTCGTTCCTTATGGGATTTTCAATGCTGCTTTTTTTATTGGCGACTGAGCCAGTTTCCCGAAATTTAGCTACGTTCTAGAACATATTTTCGATGCACGTTACTGTTCTCATGTCGCTCATTAAATATTTCTGCTGTTCTATTAGCGCACTGATTATTTCCGAAAAATATTTCGATAATTTCAACTCTTTCTGCATGGTTAATTTATATAATAAAGCGTTACAAGTTATTTTAGCAACAAAGTTTGGTCAAATCAATCGCAAACTATGTACTAAATTCCTATTTAAAATAAGTACGAGATATTTCCTTATCTTTCTTCAAGGAATAACTTTTTTGACACCAAAAAGCTCTCCAATAGCTATTTTCAACAACAAAATGATAAACAAACCATGGGCGTAGTGAAGAAAAGCATTTAATTATTAAGTAAATTCTTTTAGTCAAATTTCTTCTGAAAGTAGTACAAACTAATCTGATGTACCTATTAAATATTGAAGTCTACTTTAAGCTTTAAATCAATAAATCTTCAAAACAACTGAACTGAAGTACATTCATTTTATATCATTATAAAGGGAATTGAAAGACCTTTAAAATAAGGTATCACTGGACCGCCCTTTCCATTTAAGATTTTAGGGTTGGTGTCACCCCCGTCCAGGGGGCTGCACGTGTTAACGTGATTTTTTGCCAAACTTGTGCCCCCCTCGAAAACAAAATCGACGGGTCTGAGCGTTTTTCAAAAAAAAAACTGAGCTGCCAGTAAATGCGTCTGTTTCGTTTTCGATGCGCCACCCTGTATATATATTGTCTATTGAAAATATTAGCGATTTTGACGATTTAGTTTGCTTTGGGTTCGCAGTATCAGAATCATCTGGTTAAGCAGTCAAAAACATTTTTTCAAGCAACAGCTGAACAAATCTCAAACGGACAATGTTAGTGAATTTATCCATATTCAAAATGGTGTTGAAATTGACGAGCACGTCTATGGCTATATTTAGTTTCTCGAGTCCCTTTTATAAAAGATATTCAATTTTAATTGCAACAATTACATCCATACCTTTTCCGAAACCGGTAATAAATGAATATTTTAATGAGTATATGTTACAAGTGGCAGCGAAAAAGTATATTCCGTACTGTCCTCTGTGGTCTAAACTCAGACTAGAACGCGGAAAATTGTTTAGCAACGCGTACGTGGAGAACTACTTTGGACAATAGAAGCACAACTTCATGCAAGATAAGCGGAATCTGAAATGTACAGAAATCGTCCGGCTACTTAAGAAAGATACTCTGTCTTTGAGCAACGTGAATAATCTGATATCTAAATCATGTCAACAGCGAAAGGTAAAACCGACGAAAACAAAATCTCAGGAGACGTGGAATAAACGGAAAGGAAGTAATACGTCTCTTTGTTCAAAACAGCTGTTAAAAGCCGGACGGTACCAAACAATAATTGCTCTCCAGAACTGCATCTCTTCATAAGATGATGACTTCACACAATGCATGTATGGTGGTGACGGCAATACTGCTTGCAATTAAATAGCAATTCATCTCACTATCATCACAAGAAATTTCTGTTATTGAAAATAATACCAGACTTCAGAGCGTCTGCGTGACGTGGAAAGAGATGAGAAAAAAACGTGTCACCTCGTCTTATTTCGAGCAGATTTTCAAGATGAAGGATGAAAGCTCGTTCAGTAATATTATAACCACTATTATAAATGGCAATGACATCAAAACGCTAGCTACCCTTCTTGCCGGAAATGTGAAAAAGGTGCTATTTAATTGTATGAAGACAAAATGACTTAAATGTTCTCCGCTGGATTGCCGATACCTTGAACATCATTACCTTCCAGCTTCACTCGATTGTGGAGGTGAAATGACCCTACGATGTGCGAAATTCAGATCCGCATGATCGTCAGTCATAGATATCACTACCAGATACAAGGATTACCGGGAATAACAGGCAGGTGTTAGTGCGACCAAGTTATATATACCTTCAAAGGTATCTAAATTATGAGAGTATATCGTAGTCAAGCATTCTGGAATGTTATGATGGAAATACTGAATGTGTCTTACATGTTTTACATTCTGTCGGACAAGATTATACAGGAAGATTAGCGGGCGATTTATATCGCACAACTACTCAACGTAGGATTGTCGGATAAAAAGATGTATGATAAAAGAGAAATTCACAGGAGTTAGTGAATGATTCCTAAGATTTACAATTTTTGCATTTTTCTTATCTATTTTACTTCGTTTACGAAGAAACATTAACATAACTTCTGTTTTTCTGCACCCATTTTCATGATCTTTTCTTGATCTGTATAGACAATGTCTAGGTTATGTCAGGTGGGTTTATTTTTCAGGCGGTAGAGGAGAAAATTGATAATGCCGTTTTTTCGACAATAACTTGGTCAGCGCTATTTTAGAAAAAGTAGCGTTCTTTATTTTTGCCTTCATCGATTTTCATAATATTGATCTCATTTGAAAGGACATTTTCCAAACAGGTTCCAGTTGAGTCCATTTTTCGCCGCTAGGTGGCACTAACCACGTCTTAAAATGATGGCTGCTACCCCTTTAGAAGTTCGCTCCATTTTTAACGCTTTCCCTGTTACTTCTGCGAAAATTATATATACATTTTTGAATGAAATATATCTAACGAAGAGAATTTTGATATCTTCTTCTTCTACGTCCCAGGTTTGGCTTTCTATATAATTTTTTAGCTCATCATCCTTTGGCGAACCCTCTGACTTGAAAAAAAGAGAAAGCGGAAATTAAAATTAGCGTTGATTCAGTAGAAGAGAAAAATCATGTTAGTTGGCCAAATTTTTGTTTTGGAAAAACTCAATAATATTATTGTACAATTACCTTAGAATTGCCGCTTTTAACCTTTCCTTTGCTCTTTGTACTTCCTAACCTTGACAGCTTCTTCCATTTTTTCTGTTGTTTTCTCACGGCTACCAAGATGTGTCCATAGCAGAAAATCATCAAAACGATTGGTAGGAAGAAGAGCATGCTGTAGCTGAGTCTCGAAATGAAAGTTGTGAAGATCTCTTCGTTGCAAGTATTGTTGATGATGTTTTTCAACAGTAGACCGTGGTTCTCTACAGTTGATAGGATGAACACCAAGAGAAGCGGTAACAGCCACAGGAAACCGATCACAGTAGTTACTTTGCGTTTGGTTACTATCACGTTGTAGTGCAAAGGTTTCAGTATGCCTAGAATCAAAAGTAAAAAAAAGGTACAGTGAAAAATCGAATGACTTAGTACTTTCCACACACACACATACACACACTCACAAACTCTGAACTCCTCAAATGATTTACTATAGCGAATGAGGTATTCAAAAAAACCTCAAAAAGCGCCAGTTTTTGGACTTGTAATCACAGCCCACTGAATAGATTTTAGGGATTTGTGTTTGAAATGCTGTACATAAATTTCGTTTCAATATGAGCTTATTTAGGTTTTACTACATGACATAGAAAATGCAGCACCGTCTAGGAGTGCTGTAATTTTGAGTATAGTTTCACAAGTTTAAGGTCTACTGACAAATAGAAAGTGATTAAAATTTTGACTCGAAATTTCACAAAATAGCTGAGATTGCGAATTTTAGGCATGATAATGCAATGAAACAACAATGAATGAAATTGAACAAATTTCCTCATAAAATTTTGTTGGTCGCTCGGAGAGAGAGATGGTTCTGCCCATTTGCAACCAGCGCGCCACCTTGTGATTTCTACACGTACTAGCCGTCTATGAATATTTGGTCATATCAAGACACCTTCTTTTGAAATTTGATCGAGATACCTTCTTTACCTATCAATATACCTTCTTTACCGGCTTTTCTCCGTCTCTTTTGCCGAACATACCTTCTTCAAGGCCACTCATTTAACCTTCTTTCAAAAAGTTAAGTTTTCTGCGTCATTTACTTTCCTGTGGAGATTGTGGTGTGGGCGTAGTTTCATTTATTTCCGGATTCTGGGATATTAGATTATCAAACACCAATTTATGGAGTAGTACCCTTTTATTTTGTACCTTACGTGCAGTTGTGTTGGTTTGGGTGCTACCTCGTCCATTTTATAATAGGATGTTAACCTTCAGCGTGGAAAGGCATTGCGGAGCACCACCATTCACACTCCTCCAGCTTTGTTTTGTAGCTGCCTTGTAGCTGTTTCGCAGCCGATTTTGTTGGAAGCATCCCTTCCCCTTGACAATATACAACTGCACTATCCCAGGGACGACGCTTTTAACCAAGCACACCACTGATTTATTTGTGGATATGATCAACTGACTTGAATATCAACCAAAATTTCCGCTTGCCTGTTGATAATCAAGCTCAGAGTCTCTAGCTATAAAAATCAACCGTACGTAAAACTCGCATAAATAAGCTCTATTTTATCCATCGGGAGTCATTAAAAAATAGAGAGTATTAATACATCCAATCAAATAGTCAATATTGACGAATAGTGATGAGTTTGGAAAATAAAAAACAGGTGATTTGTGGGAAATATTTCACGAATTAAACACAAAATCAACAATTGTTCGAAATTTTCTTGAAAACTTAGTGAAGTTTAAAATGAATATCAGACAGCAGTGTTATTTGAAAAAATACCCGTCACTGAGAAAATTGATAAAGCCAATACCATATACAATCACCAAAGGATAGATAGTTGATTAAAACGAGCGTAACCATAAAAAAGAAAATAAAAAAATTGTCTAATGAGCTTCGGTATAGAGAAAAAGCCATAAAGCATCTGAAAGTTTTGATTGAAAAGTTAAGATATGAGCAAAATATATTATTGAAGAGAGGAATGCAGACCGATGCTGTAGGCAAGATTGAAGAGCAAATTAATGCAAACTGAAGAGCCGCCAGCAAAGTGAAAGAGAAAACAAACGAAGTGTCACATGGAAGGCAGATAAACAAAATATATTGTCAGAACTGACAAGTGTACTTCAAAAAGTTTTTCAAGCTATGTGGTTTCATTTAGCGGTTAGACATGGACGATTATCATCATAAAAATCACAGGATAAGTTTCAAGGATTGCATTCCACGAAGTATCTTGGCTTGATATAACTAAAACAACAAAATTAGGTACACCAGTGGTGTACCGATGTGCAACCGTGAATCGTTTGATAACAAAATAGCTTCATACTTTATTATTGATTCTTATTGCGCTATTATGGAAAGAAATTTATGCTAGGTCAGCTTGATATACTTTGTTTACGGATTTTGCGTCAGAACAAGATATTTTAATGGATGTCTGCTGCAAATTTCAGGAAACCCAAGAAGAAAGAACATATAAAGACTAGAAGTACAAACTCCGCCAAACTAATACTCTTTGTGACCTCTTTCTGTGGCACTGAAGCTCACAGAAGCAGCAATTTGTAGCGATGTTCAGATTTAGATTTAATGACAGTTACAAAAAAGCAGACATGTATACTTCCGCGTTTGTGGCAGAGCACAATATACCTTTCAAAATGATAGAACATTTTCAGAAACCTATAAAAATATAAAACACAGTAATAGTAAAACGGTAGCGAAGAATACAATACACTACAATACAAAAATTGTATTTATTATACCAACCTACGATATTCGTATCCATATTCAATTCAGCTTTTAATTAAAAGTGCTGAAATGAAGTCCAACACGATAATTAAAATATCTACTATTTTTTGTTTGCATCTACCGTTTTCAACATTTTTCATTTAGCAGCACTGTTTTAGTCACTAAACGCGGAGACAACAAATTCAGGTTCCGGATTTTTATAATAAGGTCGTGGACCATGGAAGGCCATGCTGCTTGTAAGGCCAACTATTAAACAGTGGTAGTCATTGTCATACGATGTCCTTTTAGTCACACTAACATCTGTAGAACTCAAGAGACAGACGCGGCAGCTCGCTTTTTGTGTCAATGAGGTCCCTGGCTATGTTGACATCGGTCGTGGACGTTAAAATTATAATCCTAGTTTGTTAGATAAATATAAGTTTGCAAGTAACCTACTATTTTCTCCATTTTTTTTTGGCATTACATAAGAAGGCCACTTTGGTCAGTTTAAATTGTTTTTAACCAAAATTATAAAGGTTATTGGCAACTTAGTTGATATCGATATAAAACACAGTTCTGTGAAAATATTTCCGTGAATGCATCCTTAGTTTATAATAGCCTTCAAGCAATGTTCATTGAGTATATCTAATCTGAATATATTGTTGTAAATATTTAATATTTCATTATATGGCATTTATATGTAGTTTAAGTAACATAGGCGGATATTTTGATCCCAACGTTGGTTTCAAGATAAAGACTGATTTATCATATTGGTCTTGTTCCTTGCAAGGCAATTCGGAAGAGTTTAATTAATTTTGAATTAAATAAATCATATCATATAGCAAAGTGCTACTTAATAATTTATTTGGTTTATTTATCCAGTAAATAATTTAATAATAACTTTCTATTTGTTAGCGCGGCCTTCCATGGTCTACTCACCTAATTTCTTCTGTCCTGATTGTTTACTTCAATTACTACCAATATCTTTAAGATTTTTCATCCATTAGCCGTTTGTATCCTTCTTGTCCATTAAGTTCAGTAATCGGACAAATGTGTTAAACTGAAGATATTAACAACTGGTTACCGATAGTACGGTATCCTACCATCAGAATAGAGTGTTTAATTCTCAGAACACCAGTAAGGTGACCTGGAACGTGGTTTCGGCATTAACACACAAAGCAAAAGTTTCATCAAACATTTCTATAAAATTTAAATCACACGGTTATTACGGATCCTCTGGATATAGCAAATAATTTTGATCAGTTTTTCAAGACCGCGTCCCTGCCATCGATGAACAGCTCAATAACTCTCAGTACTTTTACTCAAGGACGTTGTGATGCAACAAATCAAAACAATGAAATGCTGTTGTATCAATTCGTTGAAGAATAATTTCTTGATCAGATGAATCGAAAGACGAAGAACAAAAACTGAGCTGGATCAGACGATATTCCAGGATTTTTTCTGAAGACAGTCCTTTATCTGTAAATCTGTTGTTCACTTGAAAAATCTGTGTTTCTGGAGTCGTAAATTTCTCACAGTTTTAAAATTAGGTAAAGTATTACCGATACATAACAGCCTCATTTGGGTTTTCAAACATTTTCGAATACTGCTTTGCTCGTCGCTTGCTGATTTTTTTTAAGAAAAATAATATATCAAAAAACCAACATGGACTTTCCAATGGTACATCTACCTTAACGACAATCATAGATCTAACGGACAACTGATAGCATTTTTCGAAGCAGGCATTCGACAGTATGAATCACCAAAAATTGTTGTTTATCTCTATCTAGTATCGTTTATGGATTGTACGTCCAATTTTAACGTGTACTATGTAGCCGACCAAGTTATCAATTTCTAAATTCGTTGAAATAATTCGTCATGCCGCCTACCCTTGTAAAGATTCGTCGCACCCATAAAATAGAAATAAACATAAAAACTAAGGGCAGAACAAACACTCGCATCTGCAAACCACCCAGTGAACGCCAAAGGAAACCAAATTCATATTACGAAGAAAATAGATAATAGAACCGGATGCTATAAAGTTGGACCTTTCAAATAGGCCGGGACAAAAACAGGGTTTGGAGATCTATTCTGTAATAATATTTGGTCGCTATAACTATAAAGTTACAACCAAAGGAGTGCTGAGAAATTTGAATCTCAGCCATTTGGTTAGCAGATGTTAGAAACTACCCCGAGCGCTGAACAGTCACGCATCAGAGGCGTATCACGGGATATCTAAGACTTCCGAATGCTGGCATATTATTAAAAATTGTCATAATTGTGGGAAAATATGAAAAAGAGGAGACAAACAGCTAGGTTTTTAGTAGAATTTTCCCCTAGCTGATAGGAGCATGTTCGCCAGGCTGGATACGATTCTACCTTCTGTCAACGCACGCGTTGACAGATGCGGTTTGGAAACTATCATTAGAGTGGGGCAGGTGAAACTAATGAAAGACTACGTAGTTCTAACAAAGCTAACTTTGCTAAAATACATTAAAAATTCCAGAAAAGAGTCACCGTTAGTTTTACCTAAATGTTATGTACAATTTTATAATTATTTAAGAGGACATCTCGAATTGTGGCCTCAGCATTACGGGAATTCCCAATCCATTGAAATTATTGAAAACCGCAGGGTTTGCTCCAAAGCAATTAAAGCCACGAGACGCCACT